GTTTTTTTTTTTATCCAATTAAAAGTTCACTTTATCAGTGTACTTTCAGACATAAGAAGCATCTCGAACTTAGAATCGACAAAAGCACAAGTAGTCAGCTCCTACTAGTGTATCCCATTGCTCGGCATTGTCGTGCTCAAATAACTGCCTACCGTTTAGAATTCGTAGAAACATATGTTTTCTTATACAATATAGATTCATTACAATACTTTCCTTTATCAAGTTTAATTATGAGTTTTAGTTGAAATTAACGATCCTATGGTCCAATCAATAAGCAAATAACAATCCAACAAGCACCGAGGCTTCAACGCAGTTCCACGAATAGAAAGAGCCAAGATTAAGATGGTATCATTATAATATAAAACATAACACATACAATAATTTTCAATTAGCACCTACATATTCTCTCCTACATGTACAGATAAGGAAAATATTAACAACAAGTTATATCTCGGGCGAAGGAACACATATGAACGTAATTACATTTTTGTTTTATTTTTAAATAAAACATCCTTACAAATTTTACTTTATTCTCACTACTTAACTTACTACTTAATTCTATTTAATTTTAAAAACGCATCAACAACGTAGAGTGCAAAGAAGAGATGAAATTTTCATAATGTTAGTACCGCAGTTTCGATAAGAACGGCTATAGTATTTAATGATAAATTATTTTACTATCAGTCTTTTTCACTGCATGGTAATGAAGTATGTATTATCTACAATTTACAGCATCACAGTCGCTGTAAATAGTATTAGATTTTAAATTCGTATAATTTAATTTCAAAAATTGATTACAACAATTGTGCATGCAACATGGAAACGTCATAAAATGAAAAACAGTCTTCGCTGGAGGAAATTCGTTATCGGGTTTTTCCTCCACTTGCTGAATATAAATGATGTTTTCGTTCGATTCGCGCTTTCGTAACTGGCTTCAATTCTTATTTAGAATTTTCTAATGTGAAATAGTGTTTTTCACGTATAGCAGAAAACTTGTTAGTCCACAAGTTGCGGGTCGAAACCCCAAGGTTTCGAACCCGCAACGTCAAGATCTACGCGGTCACAGCTGGCTCACAGCTGGCTTGTTGAAAATGTCAAACCACAATTTTGAACATCAATCGTAATGAATATAAGTGCGGGTTATAGTGAACATGTATTTTTCTTATACTGTCTAGGGTGTTAGATCACTACATTGTATGAAACAAATTCGTCCCGCTGTCTGTCTGTATGCTTAGATCTTTAAAACTACGCAACGTATCTTGGTGTTTTTTTTACTAGATAAGTGACTCAAGGGGAAGGCTTATATGTATACATTGCTCCCGTGCTAAACCGGAGCGGGTCGCTAGTTTTCTATATGTATATAATTTCTCCATTCTTAGTAGAATTTAAAACTTCATAACCATGGTGAATTTATATTGGCGTTCTTAAGCTAACTTAGTCTGGTTAAGTTACGATTCACATATATATCCCGACATTTTAATTATAATGGCATGTTATAATTATTGGAAGACGTTTCCAATACCTAAAACACGCCATAATCTATTAATGCACATAAACAACATCGCAAATCACAGAAAAGATCGACTAAGTGATGCGAATAACGGAATAATTTATTGACTCATTCAACATGATTAGCGGGATGGCATCGAGTGAACTAAACGTCGAATAAATTCATTTCCATTCAACACTAATCAACGACAACTCTTGACTAAGCCCCGTCTGATTTACGAGTACTTTGTTCAGTGAATATGTCTTTGATATTTTCGTACTGAAAAAAAGAAAAGAAAGAGTCCACTTGAAAGATGTCGTTATAAATGAACGAATGCCATATGGCATTGGAGCATTAGATATCTTACCGATAGTACCAAATGCTGAAATAATATTAATTTTGATTGTAGTCTAAAAAAAATTACGATGTTCGCATAAATTTTAGGTCTGTTCCGCATGCTCTATTTCTTATATTATTTTTTTCCGTTTTTTATATAGTGTCAAATCTGTAGTATTACTCAATGGATACCTCAAAAGGCTTAAAGGCTCACTACATATTTTGATTTCCATGAAATAAATCAATGAGTCAGAAGTACCTTTATGATACATTTAATGACTTTTTTTATTTGCTATATGAGTGCTTTCTACGTATTTATTGTTTCAATTCGGTAGAGTACGATGAGAAAATTTCACGTATTTATCCTTTTTTTTCATCTATGCCTAATCAAGTCGTTTAGTATGATACTAAATGAGTAATAATCTAACAATCCCAAATAATCGAAACAATTTTGTCTACGTTGGATAAAATATTTTAAAATGCAATGATTTCATTTAACAGTACAGTTTGCCGTTCGCTAAAATACAAATATTAATATTGTACTTGTGCTATGATCTAGAACAGTACGCAGTAAGAAGCGAACACAATAATTCCAGTCAGTCAGTATGCGAAATATACAAACTATTCGCGATGAATACAGATACATAACAGCAGCGGCTTGACAAATTGAACTCGTGGAAGATACAAGAGCGAATGTGAAACAGCCGGTGATTGGTAATGAAACATCACCTGTATGACTGCTGTCTATATTGAATTGGATTTATGCAGCGTATTGAATAGCAATATCAAAAAATAATCGGTATGTAACTTGTGGATGGGACATTAGTACTTCGATATTAAGGCCACGTTTTCAAATCTACGATCTGTCTTTAAAAATGTACAGCAATCCCTGGCTAAGGTTTTTAAACGATGAGACTCATTCGCACACTGATGAATTCTCATTCTAGCATCTCCCTATCAAATAAGAATAAATCATATCAAACACAATCCTAAACAAGAATAAAAAATTACGTGTTTTTGTAAGAAACTTTATAACATATTTTGAAGCTTTAATATACCTAGTCCAGCCATAAGTTCTGTTACAAATGAAAATGCATTTTTTTTTAAATGAAGTAATGTAATATTATTAAAATTTATACCTACAAATGTATTAACGTCTCAGCAAAAAATAAAAAAATGTTCTATTCGAAATGGCCAGCTTTAGCTTTTATACAGGCCTTTAATGTGTTTGGCCACGAATCTATGGAATTACGCACTGTTTCCAAGAGAAATTTCGCTACTGCTTGCTCCAAAGCTTTTTTAAGAGACTCAATGTCGCCATGTCGTTTAGAGCAGGCCATGTCCTCTAAAATTGACCATAATTTGAAGTCTAAAGGGTTGAGGTCTGGACTAGATGAGCACCAGTCTTCAACTCTTATAAAGTCCGGAACGTTGGTTTTAAGCCAGGCTTGGGTAGTTCGTGCCTTGTGACCAGGTACAGAGGCCTACTGGAAAGTCCACGCTATATTTTTAAAAAGTCTGCTGAGAGGCTTCACAACATGATCCAAGACTGTATATTGATACACTTTGGCTGAAGTTTTCACTCCTTTTTCCCAAAAATGTCACTGACGCAGGATGATGACCACGTTTTACCTTTCCGACAACTTGAGCAGCTTCTTTAGAACTGTGAGCGTACACTTTATCATTTTGCTTATTGTAGTGTTCTTCAATCGTGAAAATGTTTTTATCGGTAAAGACGATATTTCTGTGCCTTTCACCTGCGTATCGCGACAGAAGGCGATTTTGATCGATCCAGTCTCTTTAATTGTAAAGATTGATTTAGGGCATATCCTGTACATCGGCGATGAGCACCGAGCTTCAGGTCTTGTTTTATAATACGCGACAGAGTCCTAGGGAGTCTAACAACACGCGGCCGTCCCGATCTTTTCTGGTCTTCGACAGACGAAGTGTTGCTGGATCTGTTGATACGATATACGAACATACGGCTGATACCAAGCTTATGAAGTGTCTGGAATATGATCGGCGGCTCCATACCGACTTTGTGCAAGGCGATCACTGCAATCCTATTTTCTTTAACACCCCATTCCATATTATAATTTGATAATGAACACGAAAAAATATGTAAAATGGCGCAAAATCTTAAGTTAGAAAATTAAGTTTTTAAAATAATACACGTGTTCCAAATTCAAAATAATTAAAAAGTTGAAAAAAAGAAAAGTATTAATATAACAGTATTTATGGCCGGACTAGTTACAAGACGCTGATATATAGAACCTATACCTTAACAATTTAGAATTGTTATAGGGAAAAATGTGTGCAGAAAAATATTTATCCTCGTTAGCAGGTTGAGCAAAATTTTTTAACACGCAGATAACGTATTACGTTCTGAAATAAGAACGAAAATATTTTAAGCTCGCTACCTAAATTACGGCACAGCAATTAGTGTGCAGAGAACGGGAAATTAAAATTTAATTTCGCTAGAACAAAACGAGATAATGATATGAAAATTTTCCTTTTTTTTTTTCGCCATGATGCTGTAATTATTTTTGTATATCCAAATGGAACGTTAAAGTTGAGGTAACAAAGAAAAATTTGGCAATTCATGATGATTATCAGCACAACAGTTAAATTGATAGTGAAAGACCTTAAAAATTTACTATAAGCCGAATGATAATATGAACTAGTCCTTTGCCTTTGTTTGCGAACACTTATTACTTTTCATGCTGCTTTCGATAAATTTCACGTAATAAATAACAATGAAGATTATGAACTCGAAAGTAAGCGTTCAAGTCGTAACCAATTTTGAACAGACTAAATCCATCAAGAACTCGCACTCATTTAATTTTAGTTGGCGCGTCAGATACGAAGCGGCCCCAAGTAACTTTCCCGAAGCGGGAACTCCAAACAATTAAGCCTTTATTTGGCGTCGCTAACAATGAGACGTAATTAGTGAACGCCTCGACTTTTGGCTATTTAAAAACGGAAACTTTTTCAAATCGCTCCCCATTGTTGGCAGCTGCCATCAATTTCGTCCTGGGGAGCGTGACACTCCAAAAGTCAATTAACATCGAGACGTCCGATGATGTCTTATTGGACGCCCTTCCTCTCAATTGAGCGTTCGATTGTCGGAGGAAATACGCTATTGCCGTACATAACAAATCAGTGCAGCAATTCAAAGGTCCATTTTTAATATCCGCCCGAGGTCGATAGCCTTCCCTTCGCACGGCCCAGCCGCAGCATCTACGATCCGCGTATTGAATTGGATAAAGGCCGATTTGTGAGCCTGGTCACGTTGTGAACGAGTGTTATCAATACTCGTCATTGGACCATTAGGTGTAATGGCTGCGACAATAGAACATAACAATTTGTCCCGCCACGTCGCTCGTTTAGGAGCGTGGCGGGTCGAGGAATCCTAAATTTGGGGAACACAAATTGGCTCTTATTTTAAGCCGACGAAGGTCGTTATCGGGCTGGAAGCGTCGCGATGGCGTCCCAATTGAGTTTGTTACCGGATATTGTAAAGTGCTAGCAGTTACACGACGCAATGTGTCGGGAAACACTGATGTGGAGGTAGCAACGTCAGAATCGGCGGCCTCGGCCTGTTTGTGACCGGGATGGCGAACGGCATTAATTACATTAATTGTTGCAATTAATGCCGTGGACCCGAAATTGAAACGGCGAAACGTTTAATTGAAAGACTTCGATTGGAATTCCAATCTAAAACGTAATTTCATTAAAACGCTGCCGCCGACCCTTAGCGTAAAAAATGTACGTTTCGTAACTAAGAAGACATTTTTTGTTGCGTATTGACGTCTCACGAGGCGTTTTAAATTAGTTTGTGTCTGTACCGAATAAACTGCTTATTTATGAATGTTGCTAAAAGTTGTCGTTAAAGCACCTGGATCGAATTATTTAAATGATGTCACTGAAAGCTGCATTACATGTTACATATATAAGTTAAACATATTTATTATAATATGTGTATTACATTAAATGGTGAAAGAAGATCACAAACTTCTAAAATAAAATAAAAACCAACTAATAATAGTTAATTTACAACCATTGTGGACTACAGTCCAATCAGTTTTACAAATCAAAGTCTGGGAGGCAAACTAATTTTAGTTAAATACATCAGGAAAAATCATTACGTTATTCCGCAAGCAGTAATCAAAAGCTCTTACCTGGTGGACAGATGCAGTCGTTGGCGTCTCTCTTATCCCTTTTCTGCGACCTGGGCTCCTTCACCTTCACCTTTTCAACTGGTGCCATATCGAGGACCACCCTCTTCAGCCCCCTATGCTTCTCTTCCAGTACTGAAAGACGCTGCTCCAGACAATGCTGGCGATACATACCGTAGCCACATAACGCCAGAACAATCACATAACAACACCACTGCACCGCACTATTGACACTCACTTTATCCCACTCTTTGGTCGATCTCTTAACACCCGGATTTGCCATCTTTACGGAGTTAGTTAATCGTGACATCGAACTCATCCATGATTTCAGAGCGGTACGAATTCGGTGGCGAGGTCAACTTTTGGTGGCTGCTCGTGTAGCTCTCTGTGACCACGGGCTGGTACTGGCCCGGCCGTTCCCGCGCTCTCCCTCGGGAAAGGAAGTCGCCTGTCCGATGTTAACTGCCCTTCTAGTTGTGTCGATTACACGCCGAGCACCCTTCCGAACTTTGATAGACGTGTTACGTTGTTGTCGGCCGATACCGGATGTTTTCGGTTAGCAGTTGCCGAGTGCTAACGGCGGTTGAGTCTGATTCACGGCTTTGGCTCTAGGGAGTGAAATTTAACGAATAAATATAGTTTAATATATTATAAAGTATTTCATTTACTGCTCTATACTATTATTTATGCAAGGGTAAAATTGTGACAAAATAGTATGGCTGTTTCAGTCTGTGCTTATCAACAGATAACATTATAACTTGGTAAGACTTAAACTGTAAACCTGTACATAACACTGTAATGGACTTTTATTATCAACTAGCTTTTCGCCCGCGGCTTCACACGCGTTGAAGCCCTTAAATAAATATCTTTCAATCCTTTACAAAACTTTTTTCCAATTAAAAAATAGCCTATGTCCTTACTCAGGCTCTAGACTATCTGTGTACCAAATTTCATTTAAATCGGTTCTGTAGTTTTTGAGTGAAAGCGAGACAGACAGACAGATTTACTTTCGCATTTATAATGTAATTATGGATTGATGCAATAATTTTATAAAACAATATACCAGTAACAGATGGTTTGCAAGTAATATCTTTTAATGTGTTAACCGCCACATGTACACATTGGAAGCACCCATAGAGTTGCACATACGTTTCCATATTTTAACCAAGTGGGCCCCGGCTACCTCATAGACATAGACATAGACATAGACATAAACTTTATTTTGACAACCAACAAACAGCACAAAAGATTCAAAAAAAAAAAAAAAAAAAATGGCATGAACATAACATATTGATAAATAAAAAAATAACATCGTTTCAACAAAAAAAAGCAAGTTTAAAAAAAGGAAAACAAAATAAGTACACAAAGTTACAAATATAAACAATTATTAATAAAGAAACAAAAAGACATATAGAAACCTTTGAAGGAAAAAAAAAAAAAATGCATAGTGTTTCACCTCACTCACCAGTTTGTTTCAACTTTTTTTCTTTGTATATTATTAAGAAAGTATGACAGTGCCATCTATTGACAATTTGCTTAAATGAAAAATACCGAAGTAGACTGAAAACCGGTATTCTTCAAAATAAGATACCTTTCATTAATAAATAATACATTATTATGTTACAATTCATAGACTGATCTCAAAACTGCAAAAATTCCGCAGGGGTCTACTAAATTATGTCTATTCATGTAAGGATAACATTTGATTCTATTGACTAAAAGGTAAAAGTTCTGTAACAATGATTTAAGGAGATTGTAATTTTCATTTTACTATATTATATTTTTACAATCTTTTATTGATCAACAGAAAACTAAGATCTACCCAGAATTCATCAATGCACAAGTCATTGCTTATTACTTCTCAACATCATATTCGTTAATAATTATAGAAAATATCGGAAAATTTATACATTGCTTTATAAAATGAGAGGAACGTAACGAAATAATAAAAACACTGCATTATTTACTCTAATAGAACCACGAAGCGTCTTCTAGCTATTGGCTTTTTCACCTTATGCATTCAATCTGGTGAGTTAATGATACTGAACTCCTTTTTACTCACTCTTTCAAAGGGTGTCGAAGATACTATAGACCAAATTTCATGGATGGCATGATAACTGCTCTTCCTGCCCGCATGCCACCTTCATTTATATTCGTCATTTTTTTCTCATGCATTATGATTTTGTGGAAGGCGTTGGGTAGTTATTCTCAACGACCACCGCGACCTAGAAGATCTATTGTAGTCTCATTACGAACGTTTTAAAAATAAAAGCTAATAAACGAATTACGAGTACAACAACAGAAGCGACAACTAAAGCAATCAATGCAATCGCATTGCATATGTAAAGCAAGTCTATTTATTGATCGCCCGACAAGCAATTAAGGGCATTCAGGGCGTTCTCTTGTTTTACACCCGGACTAATGTTCAGGGGTGGGCAGAGATAAAAATGTAAATTTTCGAGTTAACCTACGGGCCGCATTAGCGGGGAAAGCCGACTATACGGGATCTTTCATCTCCCCTTCGTAGGGGTGGTAATGACGAAAATACGTATTCGATCGACAAAGCAATATCTACGCTTCGTTGTAGGGAATGACTATAATTTTGTTGTCAATTTAAATTTTCAATAATGAACATAATATGACACATTAAACTTTGTTTGTGTTTAATGTAAAATTCTTCTTATCTGGTTACGATCATTCGACTATATTGACTTTACAACCCGTTTTTATTAATAACAGAAAAAGGAAAAAAATAAATATGACGTTAGTGACAGTAATCAATAAATTGTACTCTCGCTGTTACTTTCAATAAATTTGTGGGTTAAAAAATGTAGTTTTAACATGTTTGGTCCTTCGAGCCGGATTGTGAAAGTGTAATAAGTGCTAAAAACAATAGTAAAAAAGGCTAAGTGTTAATTACTGCGAGTTGGTAAGATTAGACTTGAATTGTCATAAACAAACAATGGCTCAACTTTGTGAATCACAAAAAACGTTATCGGAACGTATTTCTAAGCTACAAAGTAATACTAAAAAGACGTCTAAATCAAGATACACACTTGGCTATCTACAAACACGCTTAGAAACATTAGAAAGTTATTGGTCTAAGTATCAAACTCAATGTGAGATGATTAAAACAACGGTTACGAAAACTGAACTGGAGCAATTACAATTTAATGCCGAAAGTCTATACGAGACAACTGAAGACATATACCTAGAATTTAAGGGATTATTGAAGGATTATTTGTTGGAATTTTCGAAAGGTCAAGGTCAAGCACAATCAAATAATACTACGCAGAGTTTTTTAGCAACAAATGGTGGCGAGAGCACCCCGATTAGAACTAAATTACCTCCTTTATCGATTCCAAAGTTCGCTGGTAATTATAACGACTGGACAAGTTTTAAAGATTTGTTTAAGGCTCTCGTGCATGACAACGTGCATCTAACAACGATTGAAAAACATCATTATTTAAAAACGAGTTTATCGGGAGAGGCTGAACAACTTCTAAAACATTTTGCACTCACGGAGGCTAATTACGATAAGGCTTGGAGCACACTTCAGAGTATATACAATAACAAACGTATGATTGTCACTACAATAATTAGCCGCCTTTTAAATCAAAAGAAGATGAACACAGAATGTTTTAAAAGCTTATAGGAAATTTTAGATACTACGAAGGAATGTTTGAATTCTTTTGACAATCTCGGCGTGTATACCTCCACTTGGGATGCAATTATCGTACATTTAGTTGTATCCAAATTGGACTTAGAAACACACAAACAATGGGAACAGTCACTTGGATCATCTCAAGACATAGCCACATTTACCAGCTTATCATTATTTTTAGAAAATCGTTTCCGTTCTATGGAGATGGTAAATGTTACCCACAAAAAAGACCAACCGCAGAAAGGGGACTTAGTTAAAAATTATACAACCCAAAAACCTACAAATATGAAGTCATTTGTCACAGAAGTAAGCAGCGAATGCACTTACTGCTCACAAAACCATTATATTTGTCATTGTAAAGAATTCGCCGCATTAGATGTTCCTCAACGTCAGGATTTTATTAAGAAGAATGGCATTTGTTTTAATTGCCTTGTAAAGGGTCACTCCGTTAAAGCGTGTAGGCAGAGCACTACCTGTAGAAAATGTAGTTGACGACATCACACTCTGTTGCACTTCACAAACCCTAACAAGATCACATCAGTGCCGGAAAGCAATGCAGTAACACCCAGTACACCTGAAACAAGCCAAACCACATCAACCGTCGTTTACAAGGCTGAGTTTGACAGCGACAGTGAGGAAGTAATATTGGCAACCGCACGAATTGCAGTTAAGTCGAGGAACGGCGATATGATAGTCTTGAGAGCACTGATTGATCCGTGCTCGCAATCAAACTTTGTTACTGAAGCGGCAGCTCAACTGCTTAATCTCGAGCGCACTTCCATCAGCGGAAAAATTACTGGCATATCATCTATACCACTGACAACTAAGTCACAAGTTGCGTTGAACTTTAATGCTATAAGAAATCCATCACACATGATCACAGCTAAGGCGTACGTCCTTAGACGAATAAATTCGAGATTACCATCACAAGAGCTCCCATCAGATACCTGGCCTTCTTCTGAGATTTCGGATCTTGCGGATCCACACTTTCACAAGCCAGGATCTATCGACGTGCTATTAGGTGCAGTTGTATATGCGCACATTATTCTTGACGGAATAATAAAACGAAATGAGTCTCTGGTCGCTTTGAACTCAAGATTGGGCTGGCTGGTAAGCGGCGAAGTTGCGCAGTCTAGCCATCAGTCACACAATGTAGTTGTTATGCACACACAAGTCGAAGTTGATCAGTTGCTACGTCAGTTTTGGGAGATCAATGAATATTCACCAAACGTGAAGCCTCTGTCAAAACCTGAGATGCAGTGTGAAGAGCATTTTAAGAAAACTCACACTCGGAACACTGACGGACGATATGAGGTTCGCCTACCCTTCAAGGACGAAGACGCTCCAAATTTAGGCAACTCCAGACAACTTGCTTTGAAGCGCTTACATCAGATGGAGAATAAGTTTAAGCGAAGACCCGAGTTTCACATAGAATACTGCAAGTTCATGAGGCAATATGAATCACTCGGTCACATGGAGGTCGTCCCTGAAACAGAGAAGGAGAATAGAGCTTATTACCTACCACATCACGCTATTCTTCGTGCCTCGAGCCTCACTACAAAGTTGCGCGTAGTTTTTGACGGAAGCGCTAAACCTGTAGACGGAAACTCACTTAACGA